GCCAGCAAACTCCATGTGAGATCCACTTGGAAGTCACAAACTCTACCTGACAGCAGCCCACATCTCTTTCCAAACTCTCAGCACACAAAGTGGAAGTTGGCCTCCTACCAGACACGTTTTACCCCAGTGACACCAGGAAGGTTTTGACAAGTGCATCAAGAGGTCAAACACCTTGGAACTGTGTTTTGTTTAGGCTCCTAATGCCAGAAACCGCCCTGTAGTCACAAGCACACAATGCTGAAAATTTTAAGCCAAGGTGGTAAAAGAATTCAGTGCTAATAAAGGAATACATGGTCTTGCAAAACTCTCTGAAGTATTTCTACTTCTCTTTACAACTGTAATTTGAGTTCCAAACTCGTGTGGGAATTCATACGTAAGATTAATGCTATCATGGAAAAGACAACTAACTTCCTAAGTTAGTATCTGCACACTCAGTATCTTGAAACTAGAGTAATAAGATAACCCTTAACAAAAATGTTAATTAATTTAGGCTGTTAATTTATAATTAATTAAAATAATCCCCTACTGGTTTTGATCAAAAAGATCTTGGCATGAAACACCATGTCAGAGGAGAGATAAGTACTTGTCTGTTCATAAAGATTATGGCAGAAAACACTGCTTAAGAACTGCAGAACACAATGTTTAGCACTGAACATAAACAATTTTTTCCTTAATCTCATGACATTTAACTTCAGAGTGCTGCTTATCTACCTATTACCACCACAAGACCTGCAACATTGGTCTGTCTAAAGCAAAACAATACATTTTCCACAGTATGTCTCCCATTTAATGTTTTAATTTTCCACACCATTCTCAACTCTTTTAAATTAATTCTTTACTTTTTAAAATTCTGCTTCAAAATATTAATCTTCAGACACAAAAGTCTATATGGGGGTTTTAAAATACATATTATAGAAAATAATTTTATATTTTTTATCTTTAAATTAGTGTCTTGATTCAAGTGCTTAACACATTCAATAAACAGTCTAAAATATTAAAATATAAAAGCCTCTTAACAGATATAGAAGAATTAAAAATAATCAGTGTTCTTTTTTCAAAGACCTTAATTTGCTCTTTAGCCTTTTATTGATCTGTTTCATGCTTAAGGAGCTAAAATCAAAGAGATTATTATCTAGTAAAAAGGGCATTTAAAGAGGTAGAATTCTATAATTTTCTTTTTACTTCTACTAATTCTATTTGTTCTTCCTATTAGCTCTCTCTTCCATCCATATAATGGCTGAATTAACTGATTTTTTTTTAAACTTTCTTTACTGAAAGGACTAGATGGTGCAAGCAGATTTTCAGATAAATACTCCAGATTTTGCTGTGCAATTGGGGAAAAGTTACTTGAGGCTCAAGCAGCAAAGTAACCAGCAGTGCAATGACCTACTGGACTGCGGTATCCTGAACTTTCACACATCTCCTCTTCTATCAGATGTGGAATTGCCAAATATTGAAAGGGAAGGGGCCTTGAGCTGTATTTTCTGAGAGTGCTGACAGTGCAGAGGAGCTCTGAGCGAACACTGCATCAGCACTGCCAACAGTGGCTGGGACATTTGGGTAATGTGTCAGCAACTTGCCAAGGACTGCAAACTTCAGGTTTAGGGTTTTTTGAGGGTTTGGGGATTTTTTGGGTTCTTTTAGTTGGTTGGTGGGAAGGAGGTTGTTTTTTTTTTTTTTTGGGGGGGTGTTTTTAACAGGACAATACAAAAAAACCCAAGCAAGTTGCCTCTACTTCTGAAACAGGACATGGATCTCCCAGCCTATTAGAAAAATCAAAACCAGGTGTTTCAGAGAAGACATCCCAAATCCATGGCATAAAACTACACAATCCTCTTCCCATAGGCTTTCCATTTCAAAGAGGTAGGCTAACATTACTTTGGGAAAGACATCAGTTTACAGCATCTAACTGCACATGTGAAAGAGCTTGATGGCAGCACTCCATTCTTAGAACTTCCTTCAAAACTTTATTAATTATTTGTCAAATCTTGGGACAAGATTCAGTGACTCCTTATAGAGAAGGAGGAATGATAAGAGCACCATCTTTAAAGAGGTATCCCATTCCTACAGACTAATTTACAAGTTCAGCATCCTTCAAAATAGAGGTTTGCTATTTACTTTAGCACAGTGACAGTGCACAACTATATTTCCATTAATCCACTGCATACATTAATGTGACAAGTATTGTACTGACTGAAAACTGATACACTGCAGCACTTGTGTTGTGTCTCTGAGCAAGTCTGACAATCAACATCCCAACAAATTTACCTGCACATCCAGCATCAGTTGTAGTCTGAGACATCAGTTTTTCTCCTTCACATTAATAACAAGTTAAATCTGAGCTATATTAAATTAGCATTTATGTAAGGCCAGGATTCCCTTCAAATACTCAATATTCCTCTCTAAGAAGTCTCACATAAAGAGATTTAATACTGTAGCAGCCACAAATTACAAAAGCTCCTGGAGATTTAATTATTAACTAGAGATTATTACTCCATTAAAGATGTTTTATGCACACATGCTACACTGGATGTTTGCACAGTTTTAAAGGCTGACAGGAGGACCTAACAAAGTATTTCTTAAAAAAACAACTCCTGATTTTTATCTAGCAGGCACATATTTGTGTTAGTTACCTCTTTATTCTAATAGAGCAATGTATTTCAAATAAAGTCATTGAGTTGTGCAGCTTTTCCCCTTGTTATGCACAAATAGCAGCAAAAAATAACCAGTAAGAACATAACATTTTAGAGAGTCAAAGGAACTTTCCAAAGTAACATCTCTGAAAGCTTCTTGTCCCTGATTCTGGATTCCTTACAACCCAGAGGAAGAATCCTCCAAGACTGAGAGGTTTTGTGGGGTGCATCCCCAAAGTGGGGGGAGATCACCAAGCAGCTGTGCTCCTTCAAGTAGCTACAGATCTGGACATCATTTTTCACTTCTTCTGCAGTTATACCTTTTCTCATACCTAGATGCTTACACAAGTCCCCCTAAAATAAAACCCCAACTAAATCCCAAAGCTTTTAATGCACAACACAGCCAATAAGCATGAGTAAAACAGCTGTTTTCAGAATGATACGAGTTCATTAGGTTCATACTGCCTTTACTGTTGAAATCCTCACTATTCTAGATATTTTTCTTCCTCTTGTAGAGGGGTAGCTCTAAAAAACCCCAAGCTAACATGAAGTAACATTAGCAGCAATGGACTCCCAGGCTCCTGTCTCTGTACTTGATTTTATCATAATAGAGCTCAAAGGTCTAAGATGAGGCGCTTTCAGGTGCAACATATTTCAAACCCACAGGGCAAGAGTTCCTGTGCTAAAGAACCCTCTGACCTTTGTAAGATAAACAACTTGAACCCATTAAGTTATATAATGCAAAACAACTTAGAAATACACTTAAAAACTGCTTTAAGTTTTCCAAGGAGAGGATTTCTGTGCTTAATTCAAGGAGCAAAAATTTAAGAAAAAACAAAAACAAACAAATCACAACAAAGCCAGAAACATAGCATTTCCACAGCATACCTGAAAGATGGAAACAAAACCACTGATATTATTTACGGGAATTACCATTTTTAAGCCTTTTCTTTAAAACATTAATATACTATACAAATAGAAACACCAGCAACATATCCTGATTCTAAAAGCTGCCACTTATCTCTTAGAAAGCAGAGAGGAACCTAAGAGGCTACATAATTTGAACATGAAAACGAAGATGAAATCATTCAGCTTTATCAAATCGTCAGTAGCCTCCAGTACGATGGGTTTCAAAAATTACCCCAAACCCAAAAACTATCCTCAGTACTGCATTTTTCCACAAGAGGACACTAAAACAGTAAGAAAAACAGTTGTGCAGAAATGTACAGCTACCATACAGCATCGTTCATTAGCCAAGTAGAATGCTTTTCACTTACAAACTATTTCGCAGTGAAGTAGACATCAACTAAGTGTGCATTTTAGTAATTCTAGTGATTCGGTTTTTAGTGCGCTTCAGGTGGCACACAAAAACCCAGACATAGTTCAGCTTGTTGTGAACAAAAATCAACAATTAAGCAATGCCACAGAAACAGCCTTGAAAAGGAGCTATTAACCTTGGATTAACTTCATCGCATGACTTCAAGGAACAACTTCTGGGCACCAGTAAGGGCTCACAAGCCAGCGGGACCAGGCTGTGCTTACGCGTCCACTCCAGCCTTGCAGCAACACCAAAGGAGCGAGTGAGTCACACTGGAACAGCCTCGCGTAGTCCGGGGCTCCGGGAAGGGCCGCTGGGGGAGCGCTGCGAGCGCACGGAGCTCCGAGCGCGCTGCTGGCCGGGCGCTAACGAGCTCCGAGAGCGGCTCCGAGCCCCGCTCATTAAATACCCGGGGCTGGCGCAGCTCCGAGCCCCGCTCCCTGAACGCTCCCGGCCGGGCCGGCTCCGAGCCCCGCTCGTTAAATACCCGGGGCTGGCCCAGCTCCGAGCCCCCGCTCCCTGAACGCTCCCGGCCGGGCCGGCTCCGAGCCCCGCTCGCTGAACGCTGCCGGCTCCGAGCCCCGCTCATGGCCGTGCGCTAACCAGCCCGCAGCCGTACCTGCGGCAGTGCTCCCTCCCCGCTCGCCTCAAAATGCTCCATTTGCGCCGTCTCAACTCGCTTAGAAAACACCTCCAAGATCATCCAGCCCACCCCAAAAGCGAACACCACGGCGGCACGGGCAGCCTTTCCCTAAACACGTCCGCAGACGGCGCCCATTCAATTTTTTGACTCCCTGCTCCCCCGCAGGCCCGGCCGCGCTATGCCGTTCCCCAGGGCAGGACAACGTGACGGGGCAGCTCTGGCCTGGCCGCCCACGGAGGTTCCGCGGCGCGGGCCCGACGCCGCCCCTCGGTTCGGGGCACTCCGCGCGGCCCGGCCGGGCCGGACGGCGGCAGCAGAGCAGGGCCGGGCCGGGCCGGGCCGGGGGCCATGAGCGCGGCAGAGCGCGGCCCGCCCGGGGCGGGGCGGCTCTCGCGAGAACCGTGCCGGCGGCCATTTTGCCATGGATTGGCGGCGGGGCGGGGCCGCGGCGCTGCCCGCGGGAGCGGAGGAGGTGGAAGAGGAGGAAGAGGAGGAGGTGGAAGAGGAAGAAGAAGAGGAGGAGGAGGAGGAGAAGGGGGAGGATGAGCCGCGGGCGTCCCCCCGCCTCCCGCTGCTGCTGACGACGGCGCTCGGTTCAGCCTGCTGCGGGCTCCGCGCCGCGCCACCGGCCATGGTGCCCAGCGAGGAGAACCAGCTCGTCCCCAAAGAGGTTAGGCGGAGATGGAGGCGGCGGCCGGGAGGGCTGGGCACTGCCGCCGACCGAGGAGGGAGTGGGGGAGGCCCAGCCCGGCCCGGCCCGGCCTGGCTCGGCTCCGCTCCCTCTCTGCGCGGCCCGGCGGGCGCGGGTCTGTCTTTGTGCGGGCCCGGGGTGATGGCGGTGCGCGGGTAAAGGGCCTGGCCGGGGAGGAGGAGGAGGAGGCGGCTGGGGCTGGGGCTGGGGCTGGGGCTGAGGCTGAGGCCGGGCTGCGCAGGGCCCGAGGGCTGCACCTGTCTGTGTGGAGGCATGCGGGGAGCCCGGCCTGCTCGGCGGCGGAACCGCGGGGCCGGAGGCAGCGGCTGAAGGCAGAGCGGGGCCCGGCCCCGGCCGCCGAGCGGGTCTGTGCCCCGGAGCCGGCCCCGGCTGCCAGGCGGGTCTCTGCCCATGGCCCGGGGCCGGGTGCGCGGCGGCTCCGCGCTCCCGGAGCGGGGCAGAACGGGCGGCAGTGCCCGCGGTGTGTGCCGGAGGGAACGAGTCGAGCAGCGGCTCGTTTCCTTTATTCTGGGCCCCTCATCTCTCCCCTGCTGTAGGGAGACGGGGAAAGGCTTGGCTTTGGCCATAGGCTAGAGATAAAGAGGCCGCCGAGTGAAAGAGGAAGGCGAAGCCTCTGTCCGGCAGCGATAGGCGAATGACACGTGTCAAGTTGGAGCGATACTGTGCAGAGGAAGGAGTTCGGGTGATGGCATGAAATGTTTGGAAACAGCTACTGGTAAAGTAGTATCAGCAGAAACTTTGTTTGCTGAGCAGGTACACATTTTGCCAATTTTTCTGACAGTTTTGCAGTTCTCATAAATTACTCAAACCCTTCCCGTTCCTTTTTGTTAAATGTCAGTGTTACGTTTACCTGGTCCGTCGTGTGTTCTTCCAGGAAGCTTTGTCAGACAAGGGCTTCGTTTTCGTGGAGCTTAGCAAAATGAGGTGCTGATCCTTAAATGGTATTCTTGAGTAGATTTGGGAAGCAAGTAACAGCACTGAATACTGGAAACAATTTTTTTGCAAGCAGTTGTGCATGTAAACACAGGATACACATAGGGAAAAGGTAACTTTACCTCGTTCCCTTTCTTAAAATACTAGGGTTTAAAGGTATACATTTTGTCTTTTTACAGGAAAGTGAAATCTCCAGAAAACTTTAAAAAAGATATGGAGTGTAGTAGCTAATATACTTAAATACTAGCTTTTAACAAAAATCTTCAAAAAATATAAAACCAGGGTCAGAAGTCAGAGTAGCTGATACACTTAAAGATTTCATTTTAAAATCAAATAAACACTTAATGGATAGTGGCAGGAGAAACATTGTGGCAGTAGCTATAGTTAAGTGGCATAGACAAGATATTAATAAAAGCAGCTAGCCAAGGCTGTGTCTTTAGTTATATGTATTAATAGTATCCCCCTTGGCTTTAGAGTTGTATTCAGAATATACTTATGATTCAGATGTGTATTTTTAACTGACTCATTGGAGGAGGCTTTTGAATGCACTTTTATCTGTGGGGGGGAAGTATGGGGAAAGAAAGATGAATATATGTGATTATAGATATGGGTATCTTAAACAAACAGTCTATAAACTTTGTACATTGATAATGCTAGCAGGAAAAGTTGTTTTTTCTCAGCATGTTTTGTCAGGTTCTTTGTTGTGTCTCTATACATTTTTAAGGTAAATGAAACCGAACAGAATATTAATGAAATCAAATTGAGAAAGAAAACAGATGAACTATTTGTTTTAAGCCCATCTGGTTATATCTATATATATTTTGTAACAGAAGTTTGTCTTCAACTTTTCCAGTGTTTTTCAGTATTTTCACTTTTTTTAGTGACAGGGAGTTTTAACAAATGCTACACTGCAGCATTCCCATTAAGTCCCTCTGAGATTCATTAATAGTCCAATTGCAGAGAACACTGAGTTATGGGGAAACAGAATTCTCCAAGTCTCTTTGAGTTCTCAACAGCCTGCTCCTAATAATAATTCCTATTGTTCCCCTAGGAGCAGTTGGAGGCAAAGCAGATCATTTGGAGTTTCAGCTGTGACCTCCAGGGATGGATAAAGGCCCACAATTGGTGGTTTTGTCCCTTCCTGGTGGCCTGGGTGGTATCACTTGTACAGCTCTCTGTCTTGGTGCTGCTTCAGAGATTTCAGCTGGGCTCTGAACCAGCGTCTGCTTTGGATGAGCACGCAACCAGATTTTCCTTGGCATTCCGGTGTGAAAGAACGAGAAGAAATGTAATGATGTTTGCTTTAGGCTGGTTTAGGGAATGACTAATCATCCAAAGCAGTGGATGGGAAAAGAATTTTGGTTCTTGTCTGCAAGTTAGTGATGCCTTCGTAGATAAGTGGTAGGAGGTGTCCCTAACACTACCAGCCTGTGTGTGGTGGAGTGGAAGGACAGGTATTAAGTTGATTATGAGTCTTCAATTAGTGGTTTTATCCATATTTTTGTATATTAACAGGAGCTCAGGTTACTGTTTGTAAAGTAGAATTGCTATGATTTTTTTCATTAGGTCTTGAAAGGAGTAGTGGATACAAAGGTTCATCTTTCATTAGTCTCTTATGAAAAGTTTTCTTTTGGGCATTGAATAGCTTCAGCTGCGTCGCTGAAGTCCAAGTAGCCAGGGCGTTGTTATTTTCTCTTGCTCATAACTTTGGGACAAAGTTCTTTTTCCTTTGGAAGAGATGTATTAAAGCAGTTTCTAATAAACCAGTCTTGGAATTTCATTTTGGATAAAGGTTTGTGCCTGGGCTATGCAAGTACTTGGTAAGTTTATTCTTGCATCCCTACTGTAGGCTAATGCTTTCCCAGCTGTTCCTGTAATAGTGTGACCAGTAATTCCTTATGGTGGGGGCAGTGAGAATCCCTGTTCAGTGCATCTGGGGTTCAGTGTAAACTGGTCTCTGTTCCCTTTCCTTCCTTCCTTTTCCGAATCCTCAGTTACTTTGCTTTCTTCATCTAAAAGATGAAAATATTTATTTCAATTTCCTTTTATATCCAATAAACAGAAGACACTGAGTAAAATACTGTTCATTGCTGTACCCTGGTAGCAATTTTTATAGAATATGCTCAAATCTTGCTGTATTAATAGGTGTGGATTTTTACCCAGTAACCATGGGAAGGGAGGGTGAATAGTATGAGTAAGATAAATATGGAAATAAGAAAATGATGCTATCAGAAGGGAAAGGATTTCTATGGCTCTCAGTGTTTCTTATAGGAAAAGTTGACTTGAAACTTATTGTGGGAAAATCTACCTCAAATATAAAATAATAAAATATTATTATCAACACGGTGAAAAAGATGCCTATCTGTGTTTACTGGTAATAAAAGTGAACTTTATAAAGATTTATCTTGAAAATCAAGATGTATGAGAACTTTAGTGAGTATTGGTCAAAGTATGAGAAGTGTGTTCTGCTATGAGGTTTTTGAAATGTTTGTGCTACTGGTTAAATAAATGCTGTGCAGATGCTTTTTCAACATGTTCCATCATGAACTATCTAAAGTACACCTGTCAGAATAATAATAAGAATATGCTTGCTGCCATTAAATTGAGTAAGGTGTTGTGAGTTCTCTCGCAGCTCACTAATGTCTTTTCATCCCTACACTAACGAATCCATTTTAATCTTCTGCACTGAACAAATCAAATGTGTCTCTTGATGGATATCATTCTGACTTCCTCATTAGAAGAGCAGGAATCTGATTAAGATATTTTGCAATTCTCTTTAGTAAAGGGGATGCTGTTCTTTTCAATGCTGATGACATCCTTGTTTTTTCATTCCCTTATATCAAAAGATTCTAGAAGTGGTTACAGCTTGCATAATTTATCAGTTTTTCCTGCTTTCCTTCTCATGGGCTCCATTAGGGAACATAAAGGAATGTTTGTGACAACTAGAGAAACTGAGCAATTCATAGACTGAGAAGGTATTTTGGAAATCAAATTTAGGAAACTAACAGAAAATCCATATGGAAGTCCACCAAATAATTTGTTCTTGCGAACAGACATTTTCTGAATGATGTTCATGTAGTTACTGAGTTTGGTGAATAAAGCTTAGCGTAGAATTCAAGACCTTTCCCTGCTTTTTTTCCAGCTGTTGGGCTTCCCAGTTAGTGTTTACTTTCCCTTGCTATTATTGTGGTATTTAATCTGCAGCATAGAAAGATGATCAGGATAATGAAGTATCAGCACCTCTTGATCATCTGATGAAATGTTTTTGCCTAAGAGGTACCAGCTGCCTGATGGGCAGCACTTGGTACTGGAGCCTCAGACTGTAAATGCTGCTAGCGAAAGTTATTACTCGGGAGAATAATCTGACAGCTAAATAACTAAATACTACTTCTTTTTCCTGCATTTTGAATCATTTTGAACATCATCACAAACAATAAATGCCATTTTATGTCATTACTGTTTTGTGTGTCACTGGTGATTAAAATTTCAGAATCAAAAGCATCAGTAGTAAAAGTATAAACTTTAAAATTTTTTTGTGCCATTTTCTGGTCTTTTTAAAACCTGTGGATATAATCAATGCAGCTTTGTATTATAGCTTTAAAATGTTAGTTGCACAAACACACACATTCTGATTAAAATTATTATTGTGCTGCCTCATTTTCTGATAGAATGTAGTGCTATCAATATAACATTAAAACTTGTGGTGATTTAATGAAATAAACCAGTACCTTAAATTTGGGCTACCTTTCAATTACATGTTTCATTCTTGTCAGAATTAAATGGGAGTAGGGGCAGGGTTTTGTTCTGAATGCACTATATTATGTACAAATGTTCACAAATGTTCACAGCTTCACTCTTTTTGTTGTGTTTGAAAATATGTTGGGTTTTATCTAAGAAAATAAAAGTGAAAGTTACGTCTGTAGAAAACAGTGATCAAGTTACATGTACATATTCAGACTTTTTATTCAGTTTGAAAAAGTTTTTGATTACTTTGTGAACATTAAAAGCTGCTATTTTACACTTTG